GGGGGGTTGTTCCTGCTGTTTACCTGCTGGGTTGTTAGTGCCGGCAGTTTCACTCTAATTCCACGCTTCTCCTATTTGCTGATAGATTTGTATACTTCGGTGTCCGAATCGTCGCTCCTCCAGGTTGTCGCAGACGTTGAGGCCTATCCCCTCCCGCCGCCGAATTTGCCACGGCTGGCCATTCCTGTCTTGCGGGAGGAAGCATATGGTCCCAACTCAGGATGTTTTAAGGAGTCCATCCGCATCAATTCTTCCATTTGACCCACGCATCAGCTTTTCCACCGAGTTCAGTCGAGTATACACTGTTACTTCCGCTCGACACTGGTCGTTTCCCGCCTGTTGCGATTCTGAGACGGGGGTGACTGGTGCTGTCTTGTTTCTCAAATTCCCACACAATCAATTCTTCGGTGCAACCACGGAAAGAGATTTCCGGGGCCGCATTGAATGCAGCCCGGGGTTGACCCTGAAAGATATGCCCAAAGAGTTAGGTATTTTGGGAACACAATTCAAGAAAACACACATCGTCTCACCTGACACTTGACGGTATCCATTCTGATAAAAATTGATGTACCACCATAAAATTCCCGCCACTTGTTGTGCGATGGACTCGTCAGTAGTTTCCTAATAAGAAAGCACCTTAATTGCATGTTAATTGCATGTTTATAGGAGGTAATAGCCAAAAGTCATGCAGTAGCCCAGAGCTCATCTGCAACAAGATTAATTTATTCAACCTGTCTACTGTAGACGTACTTTAGTAAGCGGTTCCTTTCTCACTTTAGGTGCAGAAAGAGAATATGCCGAATCCGAGCCCCAATGTACCGCTTTTTATACACCAATTGCGATCAAGGCTTGAATTTGGCCCACTTTTCAAAAATTGTATCAGGTTACTTCGCTGATTGTTAGCAATTATTTTGCAGAAATCTGCAAATGGAATTCTGAAGGAGATCTACTACAGACATTAATGGCGGAACGTGTACAGCCTTTCTTATTAAAACACTTGAGTGTCTAGTTTGCGAAGTAGTTGTGCTTGAAAAAGAACTTGTCTGTATGTACACATTGTGATAAATCTGTACTTAGTGATTCCACTAAGTGTTCACTATGGTTATAAACTACCAGAAAAAGAACTTGTATTATGTACACATTTTTATAAATTTGTACCTAGTGATTCCCCTAAGTGTTCACTATGTTTATAAACTACTAATTCTTTGGCATATTTTTATCGAACAACTCTGCAATTAGTATTGTAGAATTTGCTTTTAAGGCGATTACTTTGAGACGAAAATTTACATACCCGGAAACAATGAATATGCATCTCCAAATTTTATAGTTGAAGAGTGTTCTGATTGGGACTTCTGTGTTGGCATTGAGCTACTTTGATGCTTTCTCCGGTAACGGCGCGATCTTTCTCGCCCCTTGCCATCATCCTCATCTACGTGTACTTTCGAATCATTTCTTTTCTGATGTGAACTTTCAAGTTCATATAAGATGTTGGATTGAACACGTGACTATACTTCAGCAGTTAGCGGCTCTACTGCACTTCGCCAAACCTTAATTGAGTATACAGAATCTATCAGTCTTTGAAGTATTCGCTTCTTGCATGTCAGCCAATGTATCCACTGATTGACGTGAAGCTCGTGGATACTTTGGTGCCAACACCATTCCTTTACCTTTGCTAGGTGAAGAGTGTCAATATTCAGAGACTATGATTTCAGTTTCCTCTGTAGGAGCTCTTTCACCATTTCTCTTTGAGTCTACATCCATGGGCTGTTTATTAGCAACTTTTGAACTGGCTGCAACAGTTGTGTTTTTTTAAAAGTTTAAATGCTTCATCTTTAAATCTACTAGCCTAGTCGTAGATCTGTCTCATATTCAGTGGAAATATCTATTGGATGATCTGAAGCTATAGAAGCTTCATCCGTTGTCATTTTAGACATTGATTCTTTATTATGCGACGTATTTTTTTTTAAAGCTTTCCCTCTGTCCCTGCGATGCTTGCAAGATTTATTCTTGAGCTTCATTAAGGAATACTTTGGCTACTATTTCTTTTCGCTTAGTTTGTGGGTAAACCCTATCGGCTTTTGACTCTCGGCATTTTCTTCTTCTTAGGCTTGTCGTTCTCAGAGGGCATGTTGAAGAATGAAGCTACCAATGTTTTATACTCAAGTGATATTCAAATATTTGTCTATGTTATCATAGTTAATGTATTGTTTGGTATGTCGATACATGATAGTATCACTTAAGCAACAAAAAGGTATAAATGAAAACGCAAGTATAAACTCAAAAAATGTTTTTTTTTCTCTTCTTCTTCACATAAGTGTATTTTCGACATGTCGTCAATATCCCTGCTACCTTTTAAAAGTAAATTAAATATGTAAACCGACGAAAGAAGGAATAGTAATCGAGATGTAAGACAATTTATTAAAATAGAGTATTAGTACACGATAAAAAAAGTGAGCTTGCTGCTTACGACTTAAGTTGTATCAAAATGAGACCTTACCTGGTGATGTTCTGCTTTCTTTTATAAATCCAGTTAGATTCTCTTTTTTTAGTCAAAGTTGACGGTTGGCACTTTAGGCGCCAAATTAATCTCTATAGAGTAATTCTTTCCTATTCATAGAAAGTCCAAATTATTTTGACTTCTAGTAAAAGGGTTTAATTGACTGCTTTTAAAGAAGAAAACGAAAAGTTACTTCCGGTCCCCGTGTTGATGTGGTAGACACTAGGAAAAACATAGTTTATAATTATCAGCTTATAAAAACCAAACCCATCAGATTCATCTTTTGAAAGTGAACCATTTTAGTCATTTTATACAGTATCTTATAGAAGGAAAATATATATTTTACAGATGACAAGGCTCATATATAACTTAAAAACTATAATGAGTTATGCATTATTAATATAGAGCTAAAAGCGTTAGCTTAATTGGGGAAGGTTCATAGTGTACTGCTAAATATAACTCCATCTTCTAACCAACAGTTTGTAACTTCATTCCTATTCACTTGTTCACAACGCTATGCAACATAGCTGCGTGTGCGACACTAATATTTCGAGAAGTCCACTATACTAAGGTCTAAGCTCACAAATAATTGTTCAATTTGAACATAGCCCAGTCTGAGACTTTAGTTTAAATTTTCTCAAATACAAGTATCTTTAGCTTCTTTGTCAAATGTAGAACCATCTCCTCCTGCGTGTCAATGTTATATTGTAAACCTGTTATCTTTATACCTATCGAAAATCACCCATACCTACTACTAAGTCGGTACAAATCATTTGTATCTTCTGGCTGCTTTTAATACTTATAATTCGTGTTCTACTGCATGTACATTTCATATATTTCGTCTCTGAATGTTTCTGGATGACAATTTATACATCGATTATCCCATCAAGACTTTAAATGTAACTTCATCACGCTCGCAAGCTATTGCGAACGTAATTTTCTTGCTACTAGATTCCAATGCTGAGGCAGACCCTAACGAAGTCGTATACGACAATTGTAAAATAAGTGGCAGTGTCGATGGCATCGGCAAGTTTCTCTACATCTTCAACATTCTTCAGCCGTGTACACGTTCTTGTTAGCAGGTAATACCTTCGACTGCTTGAGTTATACTGTTTTGGTCCGAGTTACTAGGGGTATTATTATTTATTTCAAAGAAGATAAGTTACAATGTATGTACATATGGTACGGCTCTCCTAGCCGTTGTAGTGGTTCGGGGACGATCGATGGGAAAAAGTGGTCAGTAAATGCTATTTTGTCGACGATGGAGGATGTGCGGGTGCAATAAATCTCGAACATACCGTCGTTGCTACATTTTCTGTTGCTACGACTGCACTTGATGTGGTATTTGTAGTTGAAATTGATACGACTGCATTAGCAACCGAAATCAACACAGGTTGCGGAGTCAGTTCTAGAACGCTCACTGGAGTTGGAGAAGGTAGCGACATCTATTGGTCTACTGGGTACCAGCACGCGCTTGCTGGTGGGCACCAGCATGTTGTACTTCCGCACAGTCATATTGATATATGCACTACTTCACCGTCAGCCTTCGTGTCTGTATATGAAAGCATAGTGATGAATAATATTGTTCCACTTGACATATGAAGAATCGACATCTGACCTGCATGTTTGTGCGTTCTATCTTTTGTTTCTGTATTCGTTGTAGATATGTGTATGTCGATGGGTTGATTTTATGACATTATTGCGGTCACAACATTGCCATTAAACAAAAGTGGCGATATTTTGCTGTGTTGAAAGAATACATTTTCATTCACTTTAGCGACAAATCACTATAGTTTAGCAACTTAACTGTTTTAGGTTGTCCCATTTATTTCAGTGTAAGTATGAAAATATAAATTAATATCATCTGACCTGAATGTTTGTATGTCCCATTTTCTGTTTGTGTGTGTCGATATTGTAGATATATATGCGTCGATATTGTAGATATGTGTGCGTCGATATTGTAGATATGCGTGCGTCGATATTGAAGCTATGTGTGCGTCGATGGTTTGATGTTATGAAAATTGTGATCACCACATTGCTCCCAAACAGACAGTGGCGGCATTCCTGAGATTCGTTAGCTGTTGTGTTGAGAGAATATGCATTTTATTGCTACATTTCCCCTCATTGTAGCGATAAATCACTAAAGCTTTGCGACATATGTCAGTCTTTACACATTTGAAAACTAAAATATAGTAGACTCGTTAAGACTGACCCTAACCCTAGCTCTGCGCACAAGGCAGACTTGATTTTGGGATTTCCTATGGGTTAATATTTATCTAGAACTAGACAGAATAAACAGCTCTGGTAGGCTGCAAAGTGTGGAGAAAACTATATACACGGTACAGGGATGGTGAGCAGATAAATGTGCCTAGATCGGGTGATGAAAAAAATAAGTCTTCAACATAGGACATAAAATTAAAAGATTGCCTCCGCATGGGATTGAACCATGGACCTTCACATTACGAGTGTGACGCGATACCACTTTGCCACAGAGGATATGGTATCGTGTAATTTCTTTTAATATAAAAAACATTTTGAAAAAAAAACTTTTCTATTGCACTTGCTCTATATTTAAATATTTATTTACATTTAGATATCATATTGTTTGTTTTTATAGCAGATACTCCCGGAAGGATTGTAACAGAGGTAAAACTCTGAGACTAATTATGGGATTTTTCCGATCTGAGGGTTCTTCACCACAACTCTAGATATGAAGGACTGATAGACATATACGCACAGGCGTATAGCCGCCAAAGTGTATATATACGCGTAGCTATAATCATTCCTACACCAGAATTAGCCACAACCGTTAGCCTGATTCAATTTGTATTCACCAGTGCCTCTAAGAAAACCCACCCACTCACACCATTACTTTAGATATACTAAATTCCCATCTCACTTAATTCCAATACGATATAACATCGACGGGCATCAGCGTCGCCGAACAGCCCTAGTGTTATGTCCGGCTGCGCCGTTCTGTCTGGCTCCGCTGATAGTGTCTCCGACACTCTCAGGTCTAACAGTTCAGCAAAGCCAACGGTCTAAGTTTTATTTCTAAATAAATTCATATTTACTATTATGTTGTATGTTTTGAGATATAATTTATATTTGCCAAAAACTACTGTACTAACGGGGATAGGGCAACATCATACAGGACAAAATTACTTCAATCAACTAATCATCGTTTCCTTTTTAAACTACTTCTTGCAGACTGTACTTTCAAGGTAATGAAGCACTACACTGACGGACTGGGAGTCTCGCGAGTCTGCTTATATGCTAGGGGACAAGGGATTAGCATCACGAAGCACCTGCAACATGCCAGCTTCATGTGTATATCCAACGGGGAGACATATGCATCTAGAAGGTATATTTATATATGGTATCAAAAATGTACGCCAATAGGGTAAGGAGATGCGTAAAACGCGCGTGTTGTTTCCCGGGACATTGCGTATGCAGAGCCTGGTCTTCGGGGCCAGCTGCACCTGGCTATTGATAGATCTGGTATTTAAAATACAAGACCTAATTAATCTACCAAATGCGGAAAACTTTATCAGATAAAGCATACAGCAGGAAAACCTCAGTTTCAATAAATCAAACCCCGACCTGATATATATATATAATATAGTATAATATATATATAATGTCGGAAACATAATTAATTGACACAGCACATCAGTAACGCAGTCTTTGCACCAAGCCATCAAGATTTTCCCACCACATTACGGCGTCTTTCTGTCTATTTCTTTCCAGAAGCAATGTAATAAAATTTCAAATTTTGGGGATAGTGTTTATTTTCATGTGCACCATTTGATATTTGCATACTTTGAACTGTAGTTCATTTCTATAACTTGTATAAGGGGGATATGCTACTAATATAAAGTTGAAGCATATCATATTGATTTCCTAATGGTGCATAGTATGGTGGAGCAATCTAACTAAATGTAATGGAATCTTCGGAATAAAGTTGGGGAGTTCCTGTCAAACCACTCACATATATATACGAGATACAACGGACGGTGCCTAAGGCCAACTCCCACCATATGTCTCAAACCTGCTTTCCAATATCAAACGTTGAATGCAGCCAGAAACTCCGCGGTGGAGTCGGTCTTGGGTCGCTCTGGTATGTGCAGTTGTCGGTGCGCCGCACTCTCTCCGAACGTCAGAGGGAAGCCCCAACCCCTCTCGACCAACAGCCTGTGCAAAGACAAACACTCCTCCAGTGCCATACCACCCTCTTCTGTAGAAGTACCAATACTATTAGCCGCCGCGGCTTTGCCCGATCCAGCAGCGGCTGATGACCCACCAGCCGCCTGTAAACTCGCGGTGGGGACAATAACGTTCTCGTTCGAGGTGTTGGTTACCATGGCAATGAGATCCGCAACACTCGCCACCTTGGCCGGCACTTCGCCCATACTCAGCACCCGCACCTGTGCATTCGCGTCCCGGGCACCCCCCACAAACACACTCAGTGCACGCCTGCACGAGGGTCGCTCAACCACCTTCAACTGGGTGGGCAAGTTCAGTGTCAGCGGAGGCTGAGACTGAGGAGGCTCTGCCTGTGTGTCAGGTTGAGGCTCGACTTGAGTGCCATTGGCTGCGTCAAGGGGCGCATGCGGCTGTGTGTCGGTTGGTGCGGTGAGTGGTTCGTGTGATGTTGCCAGAGTGTGGTCTGGGTCGTGTTCGAGTGGGGCGGTGAGTGGTTGGTGGAGTGATTCTACCGGCGCGTCCTGTGGCTGTGATTGAGTGTCTTCTACCGGCTTGTCCATTGTCTGTGCAGGTGGTTGCGAATGCTCCTGTGCCTGACCCACGAGTGGGCCCTCGCCCGCATCGGTCTGGTCTGTGCTACTGGTGTGGTTGTATTCATGCGCACTGACATCCATGTGCGCTTCTTCCACATGGGGTTGGTCCACAGTACCACCGTTCGCGTTCTCCGAGTCCGCCTTGTTCACGTATATCTCGGGGCTCGTGGTGATGCCCGTGGGGTCTGTATCATTCGGGTGTGGCAGCGTGTGCGGGTACTGACCGACAGTCCCGCCCTCGCCCGACTCCATACCTCCCTCCACAGTTACAGTAGGTGTGCCTTGCACATCTAAACCGTGAGGGTGTATCGCACTCTCCCCGCTACTGCCGTCTCCGTTCTGCAGCACCGCGAACGGCGCCACCCCCACATCCAGGTGCCTCGTATCGAACGCCATCCCGGTTTCACCCGTCATCATTCCGTTGTCTCCCGCATGCATTTCACCTTCACCGGCCGTCATCCCGTTTTCCCCAATATCCATCCCGTTTTCCACGATATTCAGCGCATTGCCCCCCATGTTCACGTCGCTCTCGCCTGGGTGTATCCCGTTTTCAACGGGTGCAACGGTTTCTGGGGCGGCTTCGGAGGCCGCAGGCATGGTATGCTCGTGCTGGGGGTCCTGCACATCTTCGTCCACCTTCTTACCCTCACTCGCACCCAACGCATCGTCCGCAGACACGTGGTACTCCGCCTCGGCGCCCGGAGCTATGACCAGGTCTGTGCTATTTATAGACACTTCCGTATTAGGCACAGGACCCTCGGGCAGGGACAAGGACATGGGTTCCTCTATCGCCACAGTCACCTTCAAGGGCTCCGGCTTGGCAGGTACAGACGGTAGCCTATCAAGCACCACAAAGTCCAGTTGCTCACCCAACTTGCCCAGAAGCGATGCGAGCGCACTCTCCGCCTGTGACTGCGCCTCGGCCGCCGCAATACGTCCGTGGGCTGCCGCGTCTGAATCCGTACCCATCCCGATATCCATACTCTGCTGCTGGTTTATCGCATCATCACCTGAGTCTGGCACGTATGCTGACGAGGGTGCGCCTACGGCATCGGCCGGCCCTACACGGTCGTTCTCTTGTCCTGGACCTGGACCTTCTTTTGGGGCCTCCAGGTGCTCGAGGATATTGTATGGGATGAGTATGAGGCCTTGCTTACGCGTATCTAAGCTCACAGATGCGAGCTCCTCAATGGTCGACGGAGTCTTCACTTCAAACCACGCCGGGAACGTTTGTTCTGCATACTCGGCCCATTCACTGTGTGTGGAATAGTAGAGAGGATGGGGATTCAGGGGTTAGGGGTTATGCTTGCGTGGATGTGCGTATGAAATACAAGCAGAAGGTAACTGTACAGTTGAATGCACGATAAGATCATCGGAAATGTACCACAGAATCCTCGCCAAAATGAGTACAAATATATGATATGCAAGTATGCACTAAACTATAATGACATGTGTATAAATGGAAGGTTCTATCTGAGGATACACATACATGCCACATCATCGACAAGCCTATACTCAACGACATTCCTTCAGATACACATATAACCTACCCAACCGTAGCATCCGGACAGAACACCACCGACACAGACGCACGCGTCTGATGCATGGCCAACAGGGCTGTAAGCGGACTACACGCATCGCCATGCTGCACTTTGCTAGCGCCGCTCTCCACAGCCTTGTCGTCCGTGTTCTTATCCGCATTCACATCATTCGCATCTTGGGCGCGTATGTCCGCGCCTATCTCCCCGCTCACGTCTACGGGGTTGTCCTGGCTACCACCCGTCCCGCTTTCGGTCCCGGAATCCGTCTCAGAGCGCCACAGACAGAGTCCACCGGCATCCACCACCCGCTTCGATAGCTCATCGGCGTACAGGCACTGCACAAGAGTGGGTAGCGTGTACACCTTCTCGTCCGTATCCTCCTCGTCCACACACATGTTAATAGACGGAAGGGTGTTGCCGTTCAGGGCGTCGCCTGTATCGGGGTCGTTGGGGTTGGCCTGTGCCTGTGCGTCTGGTTTGCCCTTGTCCGTGTCTTGTGGGCGTCTGGTGTGGTAGTTGTACCGAGACGGTACATTGCTGCGCGAGTTGAGCGCCGCGCTATACTGCGCGTTGAACTCAAAGGTCAGCTGGTTGTTGTGTTGCTTCAGAGTACCGAACTGTTTGATGATGAGGTGCGCCAATCCGTTGGCGTCCTCGATCTCATCACCGGCGGTCTCATTGGTCGCCGGGTTCGCATCATCGGTGTTCCCTACAATCTGATTGGCGCTCACACTCACGTCCTCCATATCCATATTCAGGCTTAGATTACTGCTGTGTGCGGTATCCGCAGTTGCGTTTGGCACAAACGCACTCTGATCCGACTCACCCACCGCAGCGTCATTGATATCGGTGTTCAAACTGATCTCGGAGGGTTCTGTAAGTCCGGCCAAGGTAGCTGGAGGCTTGGATGCGGGTTTCTTGATCTTGGAGCCCGCCACCACCTAATCGGGGAGAAATGACAGGGGTTAACATGGCTAATATATATATATATAATACTCAAGTATAGAATAGAAGACATTCTATATGTAATACACCAGATGAAGTATCGTATCATGGTTGTTCTATAACACAGCATGGCCAGCCTAGTGCATATCTATAGTATAGACACCTCAGAGCCATGGAGCACATATAATTCATAAGCAGACTGCTAAGAATCACGCACACACTCACGAAATATAAGACAAACCCCACACACCCCTTACAATAAACCACAAATACACAATACTTAAACCAAATAAGTCATTACACACACGGACAAAAAGCACCGCCTATACCCGACACAGTACACACAGCGATAAACCACTAACACACACATACAACATAAGCATACCATCAAACATCAGAAAGACACCTGCACATGCACAAATCATAAACCATTTAAACACACCAGTACATACACAAACCATACAACATTCAAACACACCCGCACATACACAAAACCATCAAACATCACAACACACCTGTGCCCACAGGCGCTGCAGGCCACAGCGCACGAAGAAGTCCGCGTACCGCTTGTCAAACCAGGGCGTCGCAGTAGCGTTGTGATACATCTCCAGCGCCTTGATCACCTGTACGTCCCCATGGCACGTGCACGTGAGAGGGTGTGCATGGTTAGTCGCAGCAGAGAGTGCCGGCGAGTGAGCGTGTTTGGGTGCCAGTGGCTACGACTGAGTAGACCACTTGGGTTCACGTAGAATCGTGTATATACGATTGTAAGCACAGTATCAGTAGTTGAGACGGATGGTGTGTGTGTTTGGGTGCCAGTGCATTGCGTGAATTGAGACGGATGACGGGTATTTCCGATCTTCAGGTGTATGTGTATGTGTGTATGAGCGCGTGGTTAGAAGTGTGGATGAAATTAACAAAGGGCGTATGATTCTCATGTGTATGCGACAGCCCACTTGCACGTGGTGGGTTGTAACGAATTGGGCGATAGAGTATGACCCCTATCGAACAAGCCGAGCCAGGGCAGACCATAGTCCTGCAATGTCTGAGAGAGTGTGGGTAAAGGGTGTCTGGACTGAGGAAACACCTATCATAGGTACGGCAGAGTCTGAGTAAAGACGTCAGTATAGTAAGTGCGTGTAGGGTATATGAAACGTAGAGGGAAGCGAAGACCAATGCTGCACTGACTCACAGACTTGGATTACAAAGCCGCAGTAGGACATAGAGGCAAACATACAAGCAATCACCCCAAGATGACCGGAAAGATTAACGTATACTGGGCTGAAGCACCCCCACACAGAACGTAAATGATATAAATCTAGATTAAATTCTGCAAATCCAGACGTTTGTGAATGTATATACACTGGGGATTGCACAAACTACAACTTACCGCGTCGAAGATGTCCTTCTCCGCAGGCACCCCAAAGATCTCAAACGTGCCCACGCGTCCAACCAGAACGCGTTTATTTTTATCCACATCTCCGAGCTCCGTCACATCGCCAGCCGGTTCATTCGCACCCGCCCTGGCATTGGTCTCCACATCGCTTGCCTTGGGTGCTGCGCCTGCCTTCGCGGCCTTCTCCCTCTCAACTCGCTTCTCCTTTTCGGCACGCAGCACTTGCTCGATCACGGTGGGCGGGGGGTCCCAACCGACAAACACACGCAGCTCTTCATACGAGTATGTGCGAATGGTTTTGAGTAGGACCTGTAGGTAGATGAGATATGGATATTGGTAGGTAGGTAGCTGGTTAGAAGACTACATATCCTGTAAGCGCATGAGCATGTATGTATATGCATGCGCGCACATCTATGCATAGGTGCAAATATGTCCACCGAAGTAGAATCAGAGTTCACGCCGATGCTGTGAAGATATTATTGATAGTTCACGACGTCCAACCACAGTCGACAGCGCTCCGTTTGTGACAGTCCTTTCCCACATCACCCCCAGACACAAACAGTAAACAAGTCACAGTCACATACCACTACACGTGCGTAGCTACTGATATATGGCCCCTCCCACCAAGCTCGCCTCATTGAACGTACGAGAAACACTAAACAAGTCACAGTCACATATCACTATGCGTGCGTAGCTACTGCTGTATGGTCCCTCACACCAAGCTCACCTCATTGAACGTACGAGAAACACTAAACAAGTCACAGTCACATATCACTACGCGTGCGTAGCTACTGATGTATGGCCCCTCCCACCAAGCTCACCTCGTTGAAACGTACGATAAACATTAAACAAGTCACAGTCACATATCACTACGCGTGCGTAGCTACTGATGTATGGCCCCTCCCACCAAGCTCACCTCGTTGAACGTACGATAAACATTAAACAAGTCACAGTCACATATCACTACGCGTGCGTAGCTACTGATGTATGGCCCCTCCCACCAAGCTCACCTCGTTGAACGTACG